ATTTTTCTAGAATCAGGCACCTCCGTTTTGATGATAAGAGACAGTAAACACTCTCCGAGATTGGTTGTACCATACAAACTACGACCCAGATACCTCTACCAGGCACACGAGGGCAACAACCACTCAGGTGTTACCCGTATGCGAGAACTCCTTTCCAGCTACTGGTGGGATATCAAAAACCGCGACATCAAGGCCTATGTCGATTCTTGCGACACGTGTGCTAAGTGCAAGGGCAACTACGGTAGACGTACCCACTGGCCCATTGGCCACTGTAAACGAGGAAAGAGACCATTCGATCATTCTTTTATAGACTTTGTCACAATGCCCAACTCAAAGGGAAAACGCTACATCCTAACCATCTTGGATAGCTTCAGCCGACATTTTACAGCCATACCATGCACGAGAGACCGTGCTATCGACGCCGCCCGCGGATTGTACCATTTCTTCCTTCGACACAGAGAGATTCCACGCACAGTTTCCTCTGATCGAGGCACACACTTCACTGGAGAAGTCTATCGAGAATTCTGTAACCAGATGTCAATCACGCAAGAACTTCACTGTCCTTGGCGCCCGCAAAGCTCAGGAAATATCGAGAGACAACATCGCACGATGAAGAACGCACTTTATATGTTATGCGAAGACAGGAACTGTGAATGGACAGACGTTCTAGAATCTGTCGTTTCGTCCATGAATGCCACGACCAACAGCGCCACCGGTGTCTCCCCGCACTATGCCATTAATGGCCGTCACCCCAACATCGGCCTACCTACACTACACAGAAAAGAAATCGCAAGTAACGTTCCTGGAGCATATGGAATGCAAATTAATGCCCTGCTAAAGCAGGTTCACCACCACGTCACCCTGGCCAACGATGAAGCAGACCTCAAACTTGAGACTACCTTAAATCGCCTCACATACAAGGACCCAATACAAGTAGGTGACAAGGTTTTTACTTCACCGGCCACACTCAACTGTTGCCCAATCCTCTCATCTGCCCTGGATAGGAAATTACACCATTATAAAAACGAACAATATGATGTGTCAGGTGCAAAACGATAATGGTGATACAATCTGGATTCACCGTGCACATATCCGACGACTGGCTCCACGTCCAACACATCTTTCTAATACAATCCCTCTGCCTCCACCATGTAACAGTCACCAGGATCATTCTCCTCCACATCCCTCGGGGACACATAATTCAGCAAATAACTCCATACCAAAACAAATGCCAATAAGAAGAACACGAGGACAATTCCCCACACGCTTCAGAGACTTTATCATGAATTAATCACCCAAATATACACGAATAACGCTCACTGTAAATCAGACCGAGAACTGGGGGAGCCTTGTCATAAAATAAAATAAGACATATCTCGGCTGATTTGCAGGCAAATAAACTAACATACTCAAGAGTGAGAGCCGGAGATGAACGGTTAGAAGGCCCCGTCACAAAATGACCATTATCGTCGTTTACGCATAGGCCCGACGCATGAGTTCCGGTCGAAAAATAAAATAATATTTAAAGTGTTTCTATTTTTCGATCAATAAAAATGCTTCCCTCCTAAGTATTATAAATGTTTTCAGCATCATTTTTACCAGTGCTCATATTGCAATTTTTGTTGTGCCACAAAAATCTCCTGAGCCGACCAAGCATAGAAATAAATACAATATGGGAACCAGTAATAAGGAATGCCAGAGAAAAGCAATGATAACAAAGTTGCAATATGAACTCTGGTAAAGACATGCAATGATAACAACAAAAATTGCAATATGAGCACTCCCAAAAAAATGATGTTGAAAAAACATTAGGTTTATAATACTGTTGAAGTTCATACCCAGATGTCCTCAAGGACACATGGCACAGTGGATAAAGGCGTTGGTTAGATCCAGTGACAGACCCAATTCCTGGTTAAGGCAGTGGAGAACTTTCAGAGGGAAAATTAGCAGGAGATAACTGACATCCATCAAACATGGCACGTGGAACTAGAACAGTCTACCCCAGTGATCGAAATAAAGGGTTCAGTTCGAAATTCCAACCATTTGAAGAAGGCCGGAGCGTACATATTCGAAACGTTGTGACAAATTTGGCGACAAAGATGAGGACAATAGTCCGACTAATGTAAATACTGAACTATACCTTTGTCTATAACAGTGGTTATTACAAAAAGAATAGCATTTTTTCAGGTTTTTTTAAATAATAAAATCTATTCATTATAAAAGTAAATAATGAATATGTACTGAAATTTTAATTTAAATTGGATAATTCACTGATTTTTGGTAATTTAAAAAAGCGCTGCCAGCGGTTATATTACCATAGATGTTGTGAACATCGAATGAAATTACGTCGCGGTCATCATTATTGACTGAGTTACCAATATTTAACTTGGACTAGGAAAGATGAGATTAAAAGGAGAATGCGTGAACGCAATGCAATTTGTATTTGACGTAAATAGCACATAAAACTGAACTGAATGATTCCAAAACATAACAATTAAATTTATTAATGTTTGATGTACATGAATGCGAACTGAAAAGGTAGGACAGAGTCGTGTCCCTTTGATTAGGTTATTAGTTGTACCTGAGTTCATATTAAGAAAGTTTGGAATTGTGAGTTTGCAAAGTTGGTAAAAGTTGAGGAGTGATTTCAGTGTTCGTGAATGTTGGTAATTGTCTTTAACGTCTGGTCAAAAATGACTAAGACGGGAGTTTCTGAAGGTTACATCTTGGCACTTGATAGCAAGGAATGAGAAGTGCAAGAGAGATGAATGAAAAACTACTCAAAAAGTTCACACGTGTTCGGTTTATATAATGGTCGTGTACCACGTGGGAGGCTCAAACGGAGAATGCGGGAAAAACAGATTGGTATGCAGGCGGTTTGATTGGTCTTAACTGACCAATCAGCAAGCTAGATCGGAGGTGATTGACCAATGAATACTTGTTATATTTGTATGAAAGTAGGATGTTACTTACCAGATAGGAAGAGTGCATTTCCCAAAAAGAGGTAAGGCTGGTTTGTTGTGGAAGATCCCACACCCTTCCCCACCAATCTTCTATCGTGGGTTTGTGGCCCCAAGGTTGGGAAACTATGAAATCGACATGTAGTAGAGATGGGGACCCGTATCAAAGTTTCATCGAGACCCTAGAGCCGGCCATGAATATTAAAATGCGTGTATGCTTGTTTCTTTCGTTTTTGGATCTGATGAAGCCATGAATGGTGAAACGCGTAATCAAATCTATTTTCAATGTTGGTTTTTTCCATTTTTCATATATGTGTGTGAGTGTGTGTAGTAAAATGAATAAAAATTGATGTCTTTAAGATTTATAAAAAAAGTAAAAAGAGAGGCTCCAAATTGATGTTTAAAAAAAAACTGCGGTTTGATTGGATAGTGATTCTCGATTTTTTGATGGGATAAAATAAAAAAGTATACGTCCTCTAACGAGTTCGTTTTTGATTCAGTTGGAGTCACTTGTTTGCTATATGAAGGGAAATTTTCACTGCTCAGAAAGGAATAGACCAAACTTGGACGAAACGTTGTCATCTGGAAGGAACGATACCGTCTGGGGCGAGTAAAGTCCGCTCCTTTTCTTGTATTTGCCATATTAAAAGTAGAATAAGGCCCGAAGGGTAAGAAGATGTGTAAAAAGTAGAATAAGGGTAAGAAGATGTGTAGAAAGGAATACAAAGATCTCAATACTTATACTACTACTAATACTACGGAAAGGATTCTACCACCCGAGTGAGAAAGCTGCGACTTGGGATGATAAAATACTGCTGCAATTACAACTACTACTACCGTTGCTGGTGAAGATTAAAGAAAGAGAAGCAGAAGAAAGAAAGAGAAAAAAAAAAAAAAAAAGAACCATTAAAATTTAAAAACCTACGAGAATTCTCTTTACGGAGAAAGTCTTTTTAAAACCGTGAGAAAATTTATCTCGTTCGAATCTCTCTCTCTTTTTTTTTTTTTTTTTTTTTTTTTTTAAAGACCTGTGAGAGTTTATCTCATTTTGAGAGTGCCTATTCCCTGAATATTTTGTCTATCCAGAAAATCACCATCACCTTTCTGACCCATTTCGACTTTCAGCCGTTGAACCTTCGAAATTTTGAATTGTGAACTTTTCGAAGTAAATTTCTTTTGTTGTTAAGAAATTGATTTATATTCATTGTTGCTCTACAAGAATGTTATTAAAATTCCTTTGTTGTTAAGGGGAAAAATTGTTTTTCCATGAACTGTTGTTTTCTAAGAGAAAAAAAAAAGATTTGTATTTTGAAAGAACTATTTAAAAACCTGCCTTCATAATTTGAGTCACACAAGGGAAATTTTGTGCAAGGCCTAAATCTGTACAATTTGCGTATTCTAAAAAATATTTTATCATTTCATAATGTTTGCTTCTTCACAAATTTAACTTTGGGAGTCTTGTTGTTTTCGTTATCGCCGTCCAAAATACCTGTGTTGAAATCAACTCTTCCTCGCCCCTTCTCGTTTTTTCTTTTTCTTTTTTACAGTCCGATTAGAAAAAGTCAGTTTTGAAGCGGGTGTCTGTAGTGACGAAAACTAGAAGCAAGCACGCTGGAGCTATCGTCCCAAGTGAAAACACGAGCAAAAATGAAATTTAAAAAAAAATTATATGGAAACCTCATCAAAAAAGAAAGAAATGAAAAGAAAAGAAAATATATAATGCCAAAGAAAGGATTTCGACCCCGACCTTAATTTATAACAGAAATATTTCAGCAAGCTTTTATTTCTCTTCTTTTCCAAGGAAATTCTTTTTATTCTTTTTAAACTCACCACTTAAAATTAAAAACAATAAAATGTTAAAAAATACAGAAGAGGGGAAAGTTGGTCAATAAAGGATTTAAAATAAATGGTACAGATTTTTAAACAATTAAATTGGAATTCTTTTTTTGGCGTGAAATTGATTTTTTTTTTTTTTAAATGTTCATTCGCTCAATTGGGAATTATCTCCCTTTTGTTGCTAAGCAACCTAGTTGTGTTCAGTCTCTTTTCTGTCCTTCGTCATTCTTACCGTGCGACGATTTCTCTCGTTTCATGTTATCATTATGAAATTGAAAAGATTTCTTCTCCGTTATTATCCACCAGGTAAGTCAATTGAAGTTTAATAACTTTTGAATTACGAAAACAAGTCTTTCGTTTTTTTACTCTCTTAGTTGTTGTAGTCCACGACCGAACCCTATAGCCTTTTTTTTTTAAAATCAACCTGACATTTTTTAAAAATAATTTATTAATTGCATATTATAACAAAGAAAAGTGCTCTTCCTAAAATGAACATTTATAAAACATTGTTTTGTAATCCATTTTTGCAAATCACAGTAAAATAAAAAGGTTACTATAGCAACAGGCGAACATAAAAAATGAAATAAAAAGTCAAAATCAAAACCAAAAACATTCTCCCTTAGAAAACCAGCTACATTGAATGTAAAACCATTCAGATAATTTATTCAAAAATCTCTTCTCTGCGAAGAACGTTTTCAAGTGAAAAAAGTTTTATATTTATTTTTACCCCAAAATAAGTGTGGTTTGCTGCAGTTTTGATTTTTGTTTTAGTAAAGTAAAGTTACTTGGTTTTTAATTTTGGAGTAGATACTACCAAAAACAAAAAAGTTCAACCCCACACTTAACAACCACCTAATCTTTGAAAATTATTATGTTTATTTTATTTGTTTTTTTTTTGTTTTTTTTGGTATCACCATAGACTTGCATAAAAAGAAGAAATAAATAAAAAGTAAGTGGAGTAAATAAATGTTTCTCCTTTTAGATGGGAGAACTTTCTCAGTCCTGGGATTCCAATCTTGCGGCAGCACCTTTGTCATTGCAGTAAAAAAGGGTCGGAGTGTAATTATTGATTCCAGCGTGACATTTTTTTTTTTTTAGATCCTCTTACTTAATTTTATGAAAACTTGAAAAGCTCGAAGTCGTGAGTCTTTTTTTTTTTTTAATTAAATGCACAAGACTTTGAAGAATATAAATCATCGATTTTTTTTTTGTAAATCGATGTGCGCTATTACCCAAATTTTTAGCTCAATTGTAAAAATATATAAACTTTTGTAACAAAATCCAATGGCTTTTCTGAATAATGTATATTTAAGAAATTTTTCATCTTTTTTTTTTTTTTTTTTTTTTTGATGAAAAATGAATTTTTACAAGAATTGTTTTCTTTTTTTCAATTTTAAATACATAACAAAAGTTGTTAAATATTTTAAAATTAAGTTTGTTTCCGTGAGTCAATGCAAATGATCTTACTTTTTACAGATCATAAATTTGAAAGCTTAAAATCTGCTATGGGAGTATATTTTTACAGTAATTTTTAATATTGCAAAAATGTATTAAAAAAATTCGGATGCACAATTCTGAAACGTGTCACGTGTGCTAGAGTTGTTTCCCCTGATAGCGATATCTAATCTGCTTCATAACTTGCTTGGCTTTCATTTCGTTAGCACAGTTCGAGTTTTCTGACTGTACATTGTTGCATTTACAAAATTTTTCTCTCTTTTAAGGGACATCACATTCTCACTGTTAGACAAGCGTATGGTTGCAAGAAAGAAATACGACAACAGCAGAAATAGATTTACGTGATTTATTTCAACAGGAACGTGTGGGTTTGGGACAGCTACCTTGTGGTATAGTTCATAAGCCGGCAGCCGACCTGGGTTGATCTCTCATAGTAGTTCTCACTGGTTGACGTGGCGCACCTCCTGCTGACTGTCCAGACTGACCGTGACAGATCTCTTCCCTGGCCTCCTGTTGACTGCTGTACTTCCTCGTGTGACTCCTTTTATGGCTTAACAGGCTCGAAAAACGACGCGAGTATAATTAGAAGGGAAGCATTTTTATTGGTCGAGAAATAGGAACACTTTAAAATATTATTTTATTTTCCAACTGGAACTCGTGTGTCGGGCCTATGCATAAATGACGATAATGATGGTCATTTTGTGACGGGGCCTTGTCCCGTTCACATCCGGCTCTCGCTCTTGAGTATGTTAGTTTATTTGCCTGCAAATCAGCCGAGATATGTCTTATTTTAATTTATAACAAGGCTCCCCCAGTTCTCGGTCTGATTTACAGTGAGTGTTATTCGTGTATATTTGGGTGATTAACTCATGAGAAAGTCTCTGAAGCATGTGGGAAGTTGTCCTCGTGTTCTTCTTATTGGCATTTGGTATGGAGTTATTTGCTGAATTATGTGTCCCCGAGGGATGTGGAGGAGAATGATCCTGGTGACTGTTACATGGTGGAGGCAGAGAGATTGTATTAGATAGATGTGTTGGACGTGGAGCCAGTCGTCGGATATGTGCACAGTGAATCCAGATTGTATCACCATTATCGTTTTGCACCTGACACATCATATTGTTCGTTTTTATAATGGTGTAATTTCCTATCCAGGGCAGATGAGAGGATTGGGCAACAGTTGAGTGTGGCCGGTGAAGTAAAACCTTGTCACCTACTTGTATTGGGTCCTTGTATGTGAGGCGATTTAAGGTAGTCTCAAGTTTGAGGTCTGCTTCATCGTTGGCCAGGGTGACGTGGTGGTGAACCTGCTTTAGCAGGGCATTAATTTGCATTCCATATGCTCCAGGATCGTTACTTGCGATTTCTTTTCTGTGTAGTGTGAAGTGAAGTTCTTGCGTGATTGATGTCTGGTTACAGAATTGTCGATAGACTTCTCCAGTGAAGTGTGTGCCTTGATCAGCCGAGATATGTCTTATTTTATTTTATACCATCACGAAATTCTGAAATCGATTGCATAGCATTTCATTTTTACTTCTATTGTTAAAAAAATAAAAAATGTATAAAATTTTCATAAAATGTGTCATATTAACAATTAAGATTAATTATTAAAACTAGCACATTTTAAAAAAAATTGTGCTAGATGTATTGATCCTATTTATTTTCATGACTGCCACATTATAACAATTAAAAAGAAAAAATCTTATTTTATAAATGAGTTACCGGTTTCATTCATGAAATCTAATAGTATTTTATTTAATTTCTATGTTTCAGGAAAAAATTTCATAACTGAAACAATATAAAACTTAATGAAAAAAAAAATACCATGAAATTTTATAATAGGTGTACGTAACAAGTAGGTTACTCTTTTTTTGTCTGTTATAAAATTTGAATTTTAAATGTATTTTTCATATTTTAATGAATTCTTCAAATGTAAGGTAAAAAAAAAAGAATTTAATTTTTGAAACTGTATTTTTTATTTAACTCTACTAACCCGGTTCAGGTAAAATTAGGACAAATTTTGTCATCTCTGTCCTACCATCTGATAAATTCCCTGGATGTAAGTTGTCAATACATTGATGTACATCAATTCACACATCCCAATCATCATGGCTGGACATGTATCTCTTAAAAAATTTTCTGCTAAAAAAGTAAGTGGGGTGGGTGCGATTTTCTTTTTTTTTTTACAGTTGAAAATCTCTTAGGATGTTATTTCGGTAAAAAAATAATAATTACCTCCCCTAATTTGCTATACATAAGTTTAAAATGAATTTTTTAAAATTAAAAAGCTTTCTTGAAGCTTTCATTTTAGCTTTAATTGAAAGCTAAAGGGTTTAAAATTTACTAAGCATGGTGGTGTAATGGATTACTTATGTAGTACAAAAATAAAATTCATTTCTGCAAAGTTTCATAAAAGCATATTATATTCCTAAACTATTGGTTATATAAGGTTAAAGTTAATTTATTTTTAAACATAAATACCAATTTCTTGATTATTGCACTGGTGATGTTCCATATTTCTTTATTTTTTTAAGTTTGAGAATAGATATTAATTACTTGCTAAGAGCCATATGAGATAGAAAGTTGTGGTGAGCCATGATCTCCTATGTCTGAAAGGGACACAGCACAGGGAAGAGGAACTTTTGATGATTTTTAAGAGAAGGGTTACATTAAAAAATTAGAGTTGTGATCTATGACATCACAAGTTCTTCTATGTGCCACGTCCCTCCAGGACATAGGCGATCATGGCTCTCTACAACTTTCTATCTTGTGTGGCTCTTAGCATTTTTCTGCCTTTGCTAAGGTCCATACCCTTTTCCACCTCCATTCACATGCTTGTCAGGTAAATGGCTCACTGCCTTTCCTTATCTCTTGCCCTCAATATGCTCCATGAAATTTAATTTTTCCAAGCCTTCCATCCTCATTCTGTGTCAAAAGAATTTCAGTTATCTTTTCCTGATTTTGAGTGTCAGTGTTCTTTCTGTTGCCATTTTCTTTAAGACTTCCTCTTTGTTTACTCGCTTCATCCATGGAATTTTCAGTATTCTTCTGTAGAACCACATTTTTTTCTGATTCTAGTTTTTTCCTCATCCTTAGGGAAATTGTTCAACATTCACTGCCATATAAGAGGATGGATACCACATAAGCAATCCAATTTCTTTGTTTCTAATGAAATTTTTCTATTTCTCACCACTTTGCTTAGATTTTGGAATGTCTCTTTCACTAGTTCAATGCATGTTCAGATCTCAGTGTCATATTTTCCATCCTTTGTTTAAAACACTTTCCAGATATTTTAACTTCTACACCTGCTTGATGTTGACATATCCAATTAGTAAATTGCATCTTGGGCTTTTTCTCTTGTTGATAATTATATTTTCTGTCTTCTAGCAGTTGATTGTTTTTCTTATCTACCACCCTGTCTAGGTATTCCTGTAGTTTCCTGAGTCAGCTATCAACACAGTGTCGTCTGTGTTAAGATTACATCCACCAATAATAAATCCTGGTAGTGTCTCCAATTCCTTTAGGATAGCATTGCTGTAGAGGTTGAATAAATCTGCAAAGAAAATGCATCCTTATCTCATGCCCCTTTCTAGTTTTGCATAGCTACTCAATTTATTTTCTATCTATATGCAGGCAGTTTTCTTCCAGTATAATTTCTGGATTATTGTAACATCTTTTCTAAATAGATCCAGTTTTCCCAGCAGTTCAAATGGATCTGTGTACCGTACCTTGTCAAATACTTTTGCTTAATCTATTAAGATATAAGTGCACATCTTTCTGCATTTGTGTTGTTCTCAGTGATATCATTTTGATTATAAATGTCGCATTTCTTGTTCCAGTGTTCTTAACAAAGC